ACATGAGTTTTAGCAAACCCACTTGGCTTCCTTGCACCTGTTTCCTAAACACTAAAATAGATGTAGTCCTGTCTCAGGGAGCTTTGCCAGGATTAACTGTGAGGAAACATACACGAAAGTCTCACTCACAGTCCTTGGCACAAAGATGGTGTTTAATAAATATCAGACCTGACTCTTGGTAGTCAGCTCTCTCTTGCTGCCCCAGGAAGGCCTGGCACCTACAGCTGATCAAGAGCAGAAAGGAAGCTGGGTTCCCTGACAGGGGGCCTTTAATGGACCTGGAGCTGCCTACACACTGTTAGATGAATAAGACCTCATTCCTTAACACACTTTCATGTACATGTTTGCTTCTCCCTTTCGTGTCTAATATCTAAGTTGCCTTGATGGTAATTTTTAGTACATGTGACATTTTTCAACACTACACATTTGCAGAGTATTTACTGTGTTCATTCTAGAGATGGCCCCAGACTCTTCCATTTCTTTTTTTTTTTTCTTCAGTGATGGGGATCAATCCCAGGGCCTTGGGCATGCTACCATAGCCTGAGCTCTACACTGAGCTACACCCCCAGCCCTCTCCTCTCCATTCCTATCATCAGAAATATCTGTGTAAGCTCACCATCTAGCTGGGAAGTTAGATCTTTCAATGAATACCATTTGTTGCCCAACTTCCCTAAACAGAAGTACACATGCTATGTTGTAGAAATTTGAGGGAGTCTGTTGGTTTTGCAGTCGTGAGGATTGAACCCAGGGCCTTTGCACTGAGCTACCTCTTCAGCCCCTTTTTATATTTTATTTTTGAGATAGGGTCTTGCTGAGTTGCTAAATTGCCCAGGTCAGGTCAAACTTGAGATCTTCCTGCCTCAGCTTCCCAAAGTGCTGGAATTACAGGTGTGTTCCACTATATCCGGCCCAGGGGAAATTTCTTACCAGTGTATATACATGTGTATGGGAGAGAGGGACAGAATGGCAATACTTAGTATTTAAAGAGTAATTTCCTTACCCCATGTTATCCATCACCTTCATATGCTGTGCTAAGAAAAATGTGTCCATTCTGTTCAGCTCATTTCTAGGTCAGTTAAATCAATCCCTGAGCAAGGCTATTTTCCTCTCATTTTCAGATTTATTAAAGTCTGTGTGCAACCACAAGGTTTGTAAACCCTTGAGTCTTCTGACGAGTTGGTGTGAGGAGCCACCGTCCAAGGAGTTAACAAACTAGCTTAGCGTGTTCTCAGACATCTTAGAGCTTACTGGAATACACACATATCCTGATTGTCAGGCAGTTTTAAGACTCAATGGAGTACCAAAGCTTGGCATTACTAGGTATTTTTATACTTATTGGGCAAACATTATCATCAATGGACATAAAAAGAAATCTACCCATAGTTTAGTCTTCCCAACAAACTAGGCTGTTTTCATTTTTCCTTAGTCCCTTCCAGCCCTTGTTCAAATCCATAAATCCATGGACAAGATAACTGCAAAGTAGATACAATTACATGTTGTCTTTCTCATACATAAATACATGCACAAATGATGTTAAGTATAGCAACATTTAAAACCAGAGCCCCTGTGCACCTGTGAACTGACAGTTCCATAGACTCTGGCAGGGCAGTGAGACACACCCTGTTCTGCCTGTGTTATTTATGACTCTGGCAGTGAAGCCCCTGACAAAGAAGCATGTCACTGGAACACATGCTCTTTGTTCACTGAGGTGCATGCCAGCACCGGCTGTGTAAGAAGGCACAGTGCTCTGTCTGTAGTCTCTCCTCCTTTGGCTCTTTTGCTTTCTTTTTATTTGCTGTGCATTATGGCTGTTTATTAATTACTTTGTAGCTTAATCTCATAAAACATACACTTATCTTCTGTATCATAAGTCCTTCATCCCCTAGTGGGGCATAGAGGACAGGGTCTGGAGATGTGCCCTGACCCTCCCTAAGATCAATACCACCTCCCCTGCAAGCCACCAGCTTACTGCTTACTCCCTCTAGCACAGACCTGCAGTCAGGGTTCCTTCAGCATCTTCCCTGAACCTGCTAGTGGATGCCTGCATGTTGTTTGGTACTACAGGCCATCTGCAACTGTTCCCAACCTACTGTCCCAAAGCAGGAGCCCCATACTATGACTCCAGTCCAGCCTGACTGCTGATGGGCAGAAAGATGGCAGCTTTGGAAGCCAGAACCATCTGGGGCTGAGCCCTAGCTCCACCTCTTGTTGGCTGTGCTGTCTGACCCTCAGTTTCTTATCTGTTCAATGACTACTATCCCCTACTTCACAGGGCTGTCTGGGGATTAAATGAGAAATATATCAAGCCCCTAGAATGCTGAATACCAACCTGTTAGCTCTAGGACTGATGTGACAGTTTTTGTAAAAGTTTCATTGCACAGCTCCAGGATCCCTACAACCACATAGTCACAGACCTCTTGTGACACTGTAGGGAACACACTATTGTCATATTCCCTTGTCCTAAATTTGTCTGCTAAGACTGGAACGGAAGTCAGGAAGCCACACACTGGAAAATATTTGCCTTTTCCATAATCCTAAAACTTTCTTTCCTCTTTAAATGTTAATTCATTAAGATTTTTGTTTTGCTTTTTTGAGACAAGGTGTCAGTATGCAGCCCAGGGTGGCCTCAAACTCACAGTGATCCTCCTGTCTCAGTCTCTGCCTGCTGGGATTACAGGTGTTCGCCACCACATCTGTCTCATTGAACATTTTAAAAATTGGTATATAATTGGTTTAAAACTAAGTTTGGGCTGTTTGGTTACCACCAAGGCAAAACGGGAAAGGGAGTGGGGAGCTCCCTTAGAACCTTAAATTAATACATAGGATTTTGGTTTCCTCTTATAAATCTTTATTAATCTTTCCTGCCTCACATCTTTAGAAGGTGTCTGATTTGACACACTACACCGTTACTTTCTTTAAACTGGACTTAACGTTACTTCCCCTCAGTCCACAAAGCACTCTTCCCAGCCTGGTACGCTACCCCAGGGACCCTTACTCAGCTCGACAACGACAAAGGCTCCCCGCCTGACCTCATCCACACGCAGACCATTAAGAATTTACACTCACAGAGGTATTCCACAGAATGACTTAAAAGTCTGCGCGAAAAATAGGCCTTATTACAAATGCTAATTGTTTCCTTCCCTAGCTCATATTAAAAAGCTAAAGAAAAGAGCCGAGGTACACACTTCAAAACCCAGAGTGGCTCCGTCCCCGAGGCCTCAGATAGCCCCCGACTCCGCCAGTGCACACCGCGCGGTTCAACTCCTGCCGGCAGCCAGTCCGTGGACACGGGGTCCTCTATAACACTTCCGATGTCACTCAGCTAAGGGAACAGCGAGGTTCAGGCTGCCGGTCTCAGACTGGGGCGGGATGGTGCGCAGGTGAACCCCAAAGCCCCTGCCTCGGGCTGTCCTCCCATCCCGTCGGTCTGGCTCGGGGGAGCCTCCGCGGACGGACGTGGTCCCGGAGACCCCGAAGCTGCACCGCGGGCTCCTTCAAGCGCTGCCCCGCAGACCCACAGACCGTGCTCGGAGGGGCCGGGTCCCAGCCCCGCGGCGGGCGGAAAGTCCCCGGGAAGGTCTTACATCAGCGGCTCCACGTGCGGACGGAGGGAGGGGGCGGCCGGGCCCCAGCGGCGCCGTCCCAGCCTCCTCCCCGCCCCTCCTCCCGCCAGTCCTGCAGCAGCCGCAGCCGCCAAGCCGAGAGGCGCCGCGCGGGCCCGAGTGGAGCCGAGCAGCCGCCGCGCCGCGTCGCCGGTTTAAGCGCAGTGCAGGGCCGCGGCCGGGGGCGGCGGTAGTGAGGCCAACGCTACACTCCAGCCCCCTTTTTCCCTCCATGGTTTCTCCCCGCTCCCGCGAGTAACTTGGCTCCGGGGGCTCCGCTCGCTAGTCCTTTCGCAAGCCACACGCCGGCCGCCACCGCTGCCGCGAGCAGACCCCTTCCGACGGCCCTCGCCGCGCAGGCTGGGACGCCTCTCCCCCCTCCGCCCCCGCTGCGGAAAGTTAAGTTTGAAGAGGGGGGACGAGGGGAACATGGACATGAAGAAGAGAATCCACCTGGAGCTGAGGAACCGAACCCCGGCAGCTGTAAGCAGAGCCCCCTCGGGCGCCCGCACCCCCATGACTTGCACGTAATGGTGGCCACCTGCGGGGCTCGGGTTCGCCGGCCGCGGCGCGGGCAAAGGCGCAGCTCGCAGGCTTGGTCGGCGAAGGCGGGCGGCCGGCGCGGAGGGGGGAGCGAGCGCGCGGGCATTAACTCTTTGGCGCCCGCGGAAGGCGGCGGGTGGGGAAAGCAAACTTTGAGCTGCTCGCCCGCCCGGGTCCTCTCGGGGAGGGAGTGCTTTTGCGTGTGGCCGGCGGCGAGGGAGGGAGCGGGGTTGTGTAACGCTGGGAGCCATGTTTGCAGCCTCCTGGGATGCGCGGCCAGGCCTGCCGAGAACCTCGCCACCAACCCACGCCGGGCCCGCCACCGGCTGGGCCGGGCCCCGCGCGCCGCCGGGCCTGTGAGGAAGCGAGCTGACGGGCGGGGGCCCAGCGGCCGGGCCTCGCGGGCAGTGCGGGGCAGGACCCGGAGGGCGCTCTGCCTTCAGAAGAGGGGCCGCGCGGCCCCGGGGACGCTGGGGCCTGGGCGGGCGCGGCCTGCCGCGCGGGGCGGGGGAGGGGCGGCCTGGGCGGCGGAGTTGGCGCAACTGCCTCCTCTCCGGAGGCCAAGTTTGAAAAAAGGACGCGGTTCCCGCCATTTTTCAAGCCTAAAAATAAAACTCCATAGCCTGTTCCCCTAGCTCTCCTCACGCTCCCTGCTTTTCCCACGGCGGCCGCCCCGGGTCAGCGCGCGGCGCAACCCCCTCCCCCTCCATGGCGGCGGTGCCCACGGCCCCTGACCCACGAGCCTGGCCCCTTGGGGTGGGCGGGCGGTGGCCCCGCGCGCCAGCGGAGGCGCGCCACAGCGCCATGTTGGCGATCGCAGTCTCCCTCCGCCGGGTGAGCCGGCTCTACCCGCCGCGGCTCGGCTCGCCCTTGCTAGAGCCGTACACTATCGCAGCCGACTCATCCCCTCTCGGGCACGCAGCCGGCCCCCTCCCCTTCTTAAAAGGGCGACGGCGGTGGCCTCTCCCTCGCCCGGTGCGCAGGGTTCGGCGGCCTCTGCCCCGCACGTGCTGGAGACTGAGTGTTCCAGGTGGCCTGTGAGACGCGCACGGTGGCCTCCGGTTCGCTGCGGCCGGACTCCTCGCAAGTGAGCTGTTTTCTCCGGCCGGGGAGAGCCCCGGAAGCCGCCATCCGCCCTGGCCGGTGGGAGGCCTCGTTTCCCGCCCGCAGGTGGCGATGGTTAGCAAGTTGCGAACTTATGGGGATGCTGGCCAGGTGTAGCCCGCGTGCTTTGTGTCCTCATTCCGGGCCTTACAGCCGCGGCGCGAGGCGGCGGCCGACCTGGGGCCCCGAGGGGGCGGGACTGGGGCGCCACCGGCGCGCACTCTGCGGCCGGCAGTCAGACATTTTGTGCCCGCCACGTGCTGGTGTAGTCGGTCGTTCAACGTCTTGTGTGTGCAACTTGAGGGCCTGTGTTCTCACCTGAAGGAGTTTTATTTATAGACTTTTCTGTGTAAATTAATAAAACACAGTAACTAAATGTAGCCAAATTTCGCTTAAGAAAATACACACGTGGGTCTTCAAAATGCTTCGAAATTTAGAACTTGGGGCAAAGGGTGTAGCTAAATGGTAAAGTGCTTTCGTAGCATGCTTTATCTTGGGTTCCATCACCTGTGGGACAAAAATAAAATCTAGAATTTGAGTTCTTTAGAATTTGCTCTGTTAATGCCTATTATAAACCTCATAGATTTTTGTTCTCTGGAAAATACAGCTGGCCTGCGTGGTGTTCTGTATAGTATATGAATTAACACTTTTTAAAAGTGTATGTACGTATATGCAGGTGATAATTTTTTAACTTGCGCTTTAACTGGTCAAAAACAACAGAGCCATGGGACTAATTAAAAATGAAAAATTAGTTTGTAGGTTCTACACACATTTGGAGCACCCCCACAGCAACAAGTGGTTAGTGGATTACGCTGGTCACCACTGGCTTCGAGGATCCCCTGGTTTATTAAATATTTGCCTGCCCACTGCCGAGGATTTAGCTCAGTAGTTCCAACGCCTGCCGCACAAGCGCAAGGCCCCGAGTTCGATCCCTGGTACCAAAAAAAAAAAATACTTGACTGCCCAGTGTGCCAGGTCCTGGGAAACCAGTGTGAACAGTCAGGAAGTGGCCCCTGCTCTCTCTAAGAATTAGACCTTGGGGGCATGCTAGTGCTTTGTTGCGCTTGGGCTGGTTAGAGGGAGAGTGTCGGGAGAGGCAGCCAAGGTTGTGGGAGTAGTGGAAGGGAGACCTCTGACATTTAGGCCCCCAGTCTGTGGAAGAGCTTTGATCTAAAACTTCTCAGGAAAAAATGCCATAGATCTAAAGAAAAAAAATTCACAAAGAGTTTTAAGGTATTTTTGCACAAAGTCATCCCACTTAAGGCAAATGAAGCCCCAAGATGGCCCCTTTCAAATGAGCTAGTCACACCGCACCTTTTGCATAATATACTGTAAAACATGCACATGTATGCCACAGAAATTGTTGGTAATACTGTCAGCTGCTAGGGAATTAGGCTTGGCCTCTGGCCCCTGCACACTCATGTCATTTGGGAAACAAAATCCCATTGTTTCATGGAATGTACTTTGGGTTAAAATGGATGCTCTGAAATACGGGATAGTGTAGCCCACAGTTGACCTTTGATTTCGAAGGCAGGCTTTTTTTTGTCTATAATGGTGTTTGTGTTTTACGTTAGGGTTAGAAGAAGCCTAAGTTAAACTTTGTATTTAGCTTCTTGTGGTTTTTGGCCAGAGTACATGAATCCATTAGGTTCAGTTCACAGGTTACTGTGACCAGATTCCTTACAAACACAGGTATTTCCCCATGGCTGGGGGTCATAAAGAAATAACAATTCACTTTTTTCTAAGTTCAAAAACAGCTCTTAAATCATTATATTCTCATAGTGGGACTAAAGGCCTAGCATTTTAAAAATACAGTGTATCCTCAAGTTTCGACTGACCTGACATAGGAACAACTTGGGTTAATGGGGTTAATGGAAGGTTCGTTTTCTCGCTTGTTATCAATAGTGTGTACCCAGGTAAACATTCAGATCTCAGCCTTATTGACTTCAACCAACTTGAGTTACAACTAGCCCTCAGTAACCATTGAGTTCGTAAGTCAAGGGTCCACTGTAATAAGAATGGTTGCCATTCAGAAATACAGGCAAGAATAGGAAATATGTTTTGGTTTTGGATTTGGTTTTGTTTTTATTTTTGTGGAGGTTTTGTTTTGTTTTTCTTTGGTTGGGGGGGGTGCTGTGGTTGAATCCAGGGTCTTGTGCACGCTAAGTGTGAACTCTTAGCAATGAACTACATTCTGAGACCTAGGAAATATTTTGTATAAACTTACTTTGTTGAGAATAAATTGTTTTTTGGAAACAGGATGTTGCTATGTAGCTCAGGCTGGCCTTGAACTCACCCTGTGGCTCAGGCTGGCCTCGAACTCAAGGCAATCCTCCCTGCCTAAGGCTCCCAAGTCCTGGGTTTACAGGTGTTCACCACCATGCTTGGCTATTGAGGATAAATTGTGCAGTGTTGGAACATACCATGTACACCACAGAAATTGGTGGTATTGTCAGGTGAGAAGGTGCTAACATACAGTAGCAAGAAAGAGACCAAATTTAGTTGTATTCCAAAATGAGGAATACCTGCTCTTTCTTGTGAAGTTGTCATTATGTTAAATGAACATGCTGTGCTACTGTGAGCACCAGCAGCTAGGGACAGCTAACTTTCATATTAACTCTGTTAAAATTTGTCATTCAAAGTTAGAAAGCCAAGTAGTTTCTTCCTGAGGTTAAAAAAAAAAAAATCTAGGCATCTGTGAAACAATGTACTACATGCTAGACCAGTGATGGAGAATCTCTAAAGAGCTTTCAATGATAAACAGCCTGCTGTGGTGTGTGTGCCATAAGTTCGCCACCACCATGTTGAGACTGTGATGTTTCATCCATGTTAATAAGAGTAGTCTTTCCTTAGTCCTAGTTCACTGGAGAGAAGAAATTATATATTCTGTAGCTTGCTTCTGTTTTTGCCCCCCTCCCAGCATCTATTGTTTACTGTGATATAATTTTGAACTCATTTGGATATTCTAATTGGTTGCCTAGCAACTAATTGAGGTTTTTCCTTGTATAGATAATATGTCTTTGCTGGAATACAATTAGGTACAGATAAGCCAAAAGGTAGCAGATATAGAGAAGCAAAAAGAAGAAAGTAGAAATCACACACATACACAACCAACCCCCATACATTTTGATGAGTAGTCTACCAAGATTTTTTTTTTTTTCCAAACTTGGGTTCATGTGTATGCTGTCTTGTTGCCCACTCCCACCCTGGCAGTACTGAAGATCGAACCCAGGGCCTATATCTCCGTCCCTTTTCCTTTTTTATTTTGAGACAGAATCTTGCTCAGTTTCCCAAGCTGGGCTGGAACTTGCAATCCTCTTGCCTCACAGCCTCTCAAATACTGGGATTACAGACATGCACCACCATGCCTAACACCCCCCCCCCCCATCAAACTCAGGGCCTTGCACTTGTAAGGCAGGCACTGCACCACTGAGCTAAATCCCCAGCCCATACCTTTTTAAAAATAATACAGTGAACATCTTCTCTGTCACTAACGCTTCACAGCCTCACTGTTAATGCATGATTTTAGCACCCCTTTAGGTTGTAGGGGTTTCTTTTTCTGCCAAACTGCTTTTCAAAATAGTTCCTTTCTTTACTTTGGGAGGCTGCGAAAGGAAAATCACAAGTTCGCCAGCCTAGGCAACTTAGTGAGACCCTGCCTCAAAGATTAAAAAAGTAAAAATAGGGGCCCAGGGATTTAGTTCAGTGGTTCCTCTGCCTGCCTGTCAAGCGCAAGGTCCCGAGTTCAATCCCTGGTACCCCCCAAAAAACCCAGAAACAATAAAAATAAAAATAGCTGGAAATATAGCTCAATGCAAAGAACCTGGATTCAGTCCCCAATACCTTTGGGGGTTTTGTTGTTTTTTTTTTTTTAACCTTTGGTTTTTTGTTTTTGTTTTGTTTTTTTGTTTTGGTACCAGGGATCGAACTCTGGTCCTTATGCTTGCAAGGCAGGTGGCAGAACCACTGAGCTAAATCCCCAGCCCCCAGTCCCCAATACCAAAAAGGGAAAAAAAAAAATTATCTTTTTTGTGTATCAACCAGTAGGATATGGGTGTTTCTTTCATGTGAATGGTTCTGCTACTTAGAGACATTTGAGAACTACCAATATCAATTTGTTCTGTTGTTTTGAAAACAATCTTTTAAGTAATAGGGTAGAAGATTTGAACATTGATTGGCTCAAAAGGATAGCAGTTGGTAAGGGCTGCAGGAATTGCCTTGTTACATTTTCAGATTCTTTTGCTTACTGCAATAATCATGTGTTACTTTTCTAAATAAAGGAATTGATAAGTCAATACTTAATTTATCTATATCCTTCCCCCTCTTTTATGACGAACATCACATAATTGGGGGAAGTCACTCTACCAGTTAGGTAAAATTGATCTTTTTTCAGAATAGCTGGGGGAGTGGCAAGTGAGAGCAAGTTAGAAATGAAAGGGGAAAAGGCCCATGTGACCACAACGTAGTTCAAATTTTTCAGTGAAAAAGTAAACTGCAGTTAACAAATACAAGAGTTAGGAAGTATGGCTTTGTTTTTAAATGTTTGTCTTATACTCATGCTTGAAAGAAAGCAACTTTAATTAGAGAATGAGAGATGAAAAAAGTGAACTTAGCCCCAAAAGTTAAACTGTCCATCTTTAAGCAGAAGGCCAATTAACTCTGTCTTGGATCAAATACTTCCCTAAATTGTGCACACAAATGTGCAAGTACCTGCCCAGCTTTCCCTCATTAGATAGCAGTCCCGGGAGGATTTGGGATACATTAAGAAGAAGGTAGGGATTAGAACTTTTCTAGTTTATTCTGGATCTCTATTGGGAGAGGGATTTTATTGGCTAAGCCCCACCAACTGTCTCCAAAGCACCCTCTTTCAAAGCTGTTCTCTCCCTTACAAAGCAGTCTGGATTGCTTTATACCAGAGAAAGAAGGAGAGAGAGGGGAGGCCTAATTACCTCTATGGGGACCTAGAGTTTGGTATGAAGATTATTTTAAATGGAAAACATTGGACTCAGAAAGAAGGCTGCTTCAGGCTTATCTGATTAAAAGCCAAACACTTAGGATAATTTTTTTTTTTTGGTACCAGGGATCGAACTCCGGTCCTTGCACTTGCACAGCAGGTGGCGAAACCACTGAGCTAAATCCCCGGCCCGACACTTAGGATAATTAAGGACTAACACAATCACTTTTGGTGCACCTCTGGTCCAGAGAGAGACCTAGACCAAAATGTGTCATACATGAATCCCCTTCCTGGGATAGTTTTAGGTGTCTAAGAAGACAGAAAGAGCACTCATACCTGTGTAGATAAACACTACCGAAAACTTTTTTGCGGGGGGGAGACAGTGTCTCATATTTGTAGTCCATACTGGTGATAAACTGTGTAGCCCAGGCTGTCCTCAAACTTTCCATCTTAACCTAAGCCTCTTGATTGTCGGGATCCCAGGCATGTGCATGCAGACTATCACAATTTTTTTTCCTATTTGTTCTCAAAGGAAGCTTTCTCTTCTATCATAAGTTACGTATATAAGCCCCTGAAATTCTAGCTTTTTGAATTCTTTATAAGTTAATGTGTATGCAAATATGTATGCATGTTGCACATTTTTTTCTGTTAAACAGTCTCATCAGTTAATTTACAGGCCCAAAGCACTTAATCTTAGAGGGTAAAGGAGCTTTTTGTCCCTTGACCTCAATTGCTGCTTCTTTGTTGCTGAAACAGTGTCTGAGAGTAGAACATCTTTTTGCCACAATTCTGTTTAGAACTTTAAACAAGCTGACAGGATACTGATGGGACGTTCAGACCTGCTGTATTTGACCACAGTCCTAAATGAGTAAGATGCATTGAACCTTTTTAAATAACTTTTTTTTTTTGAGAGTTTTCATACTTTTAATGCAATCTTATTACATCTTAGAGACCATCCGTACCAAGGCTTCCTTGAAAGCCACTTGTGGCCCATAGAAGCATCTCCATCTCTCCCAAGCGGTGTCCACATCGTCCTTTTCAGCCCCTCCACACTGCTCTGGTCTGCGAAGGCAACTGAGCCACAAGGCTGAAACCCAGGCACTGCTCAGGCAGCCCAGGGCAGCGGGTAGGGTCCCCGCGGGACAGCCAAGAGAGTGCGCTCCGGCGAGGCCCTGCAGGGAGGCGGCGCGCTTTTTAAAATAACTCTTAGTTAACACACTCAAATGTTTCTATTCTAACCTGTCAATAGATTGAAATCATACCAAAATGCTAATAGTGTAGTAATAGGTAACATTTTTTCAGCTCTGATATAGTGGTAACCAGAATAGACATGTTGACCCTGACATCAGAAGCTTACAATCTACCAGTGATTTTTTTTGTTTGTTTTTAGTGCTGAGGTTTGAATCTAGGGTCTTGTATAGCTAAACAGGCACTTCACCAGTCTACATCTCCAGCCATTTTTTAAATGTTTAACACACGGTCTCACTAAGTTGCCTGAGCTGGGCTCAGACTTGCTATGGCCCTGCCTCAGTCTCCCAGGGTGCTGAAATTACAGGCATGTACTACCTTGTCAGCTGCAGTGAGTATTTTTAAACTTTACTCTTTTAAATAGGTGAATAGTCACATTGTTGAAATTAGTTACATAGAAAACAGCAGCCATTGGTATTGCATGCCTGTAATCCCAGTGCTCAGGAGTCTGAGGCAGAAGGATCACTGCAAGTTTGAGGTCAGCCTGGGCAAGCCAAGGCCACCCTAAACCATATACTGAGACCCTGTCTCAGAAACATTAGAAAATAGAATAAAAAATAAATACTTGTGGAAAGTTAGGGCAGATATGATTAAACAGCATGTATCTCTCACATCCCCCATTCCCTGTCCCCAAAGGCTACTTTCTGAGTATTTACCATGGCCCAGGCACTATTCTAGAACAGATTTACAGGGTGTTATTATCTCCACTTTACAGAAAACTAAGGCATAGACAGGGTAAGTGACTTACCATTCCATGTGACAGAGCCAGGATATGACTTCAGGTGTCTCCAGAGCCTAGCTGTGGTCACACAGTTTTCCCCTTGAGTGTTCAAATGTGCTGATTTCTTGTCAAAAGAGGAAGGAATCTCATAGGTATGTAGAGAAAAGTGGAAGAAAGGAAAGGAAGAAGTAAAAGGTATAATAGATCTGCCTGCGTCCTGAAGCCAAGGCTTCTGGAGATTAGTAGATAGGATGGCAAGAAGTGGTGAGACATTTATGGTGGTGCAGATACAATTCTAAATGTTTCCTTCTTTGTGAATGGGGGGGTACAAATAAATACAAATGAGTGAGTACTCAGTAACTTGTATCAGTTATTAGAGTAACATCCTTGGATTTGTGTGGGAAAATGAAGATATTGTCAGGAGCTCCTGTTCTCTTTTCACACTTTTCAGCAGCTCTTTTCTATATGAATACTTATTTAATGCTGCTAAACATGGTGATTGACCCCAGAATGCCTTCTAGGGGCCATTGAAGCTGTGATTTGTATTACTGTAAGTAGATCAGGGTGTGTTAAAGTTGCAGGTTTCAGAGTCAACCATAGAGCAGGGATGGCAATAGGGATTATTATGGGAGATCAGCAGTGATACCCTTTGGATGGATTTGAATTCTGAAGGAGACCTTTAAAGAACCTGATTTAATGTTTTAACAGTTCTCCAGGGCTGGAGATTTAGCTCAGTGGTTCGTATCCTGCCTCATAAGTGCAAGGTCCCGAGTTTGATCCCTGGTACCAAAAAAACAAAAAAAGTTCTCCATCCTAAAAAATCTTTCTCACATGTAACCCTTTCTTTTGAATTAAGAGCTCTTGCATCTTGATTTCTTCCATTGTCAAGATAATCTTTATAAAGATTAATAGATTTAGAGTTGGAAAGTGTTAGTGCAGAAACCTTTAGCTAGAATTGGGTAGGAAAAGTAAAGCTTCACTCTATGGTCAAGTCTTGGATTTTAAGATAGTCTAAAGGGGTGTCTTCCTCTGTACTTGCATTTAATTCGGATAAAGTCCCCTTTGAGGAACAAACTTGAGAAAAGGAATAAAAGTACATTTCATTTTTATATCTTGAGAATTTTAGTTTCTTTTTCTGGAAAGTGGAGCAGAAATCATTTATAGCATGGAGTAATGTTCCATCTTTTAATCTATTAGTATATTGCTACTAATAGCTTTATTTCTATCATCCTCATCTAAGTGAAAGGCTGGCCCTAAATATACAGTATGTTGGTATTTTTGAGGGGTACTAGGGTTGGAGTTTTTGCTTTTGTTCTTTGTTGTTTCCTATGTTTTTGAAAGCTTGTCTCCTTTTTCTTTATTATCCTCAGGTTCGAGAACTTGTCTTGGACAATTGCAAATCAAATGACGGAAAAATTGAGGGCTTAACAGCTGAATTTGTGAATTTAGAGTTCCTCAGTTTAATAAATGTATGCTTGATTTCAGTTTCAAATCTCCCCAAGCTACCTAAATTGAAAAAGGTAAGTACTTTTTCCGTAAAAGAGAACTGACTTGGGAAGGGGAAATGAATAATTTTCCCTGTAAGGAAGTATTGTGTAATAGAAAGCACATGGCTTTTGGAACTGGGTAGTTAGGGGATTGGATTCCAGCTCTCTGCTGGTTCCTTGAAGATATTTAAAAAACCAAAAAATAAACCAATGGTGGGGGTTGAATCCAGGGCCTGTCACATGCTAGCAAGTGCTCTACCACTGAGCTACACCTCAGCTTCTTGCTTTCTTTATGGGTGATCTTCCACAAGGTATTTCACCTCCCTAGGCTCATTTTCTTCACCTATACACTGATGATACTATTAGACCTTGCAGAATCTTTGTGATGTTTGGAAATAATGTTGAATATTCAGTAATGGTTATAAAGGTTATTTTGTAGGTAATTTATTTGTTAGTGTTTGTTTGTTTTTCGATACCAAGATCAAACTCTGGACCTTGTGATTACGAGGCAGGCATGGTGCCACTGAGCTAAATCCTGGGCCCTCTATTTGTTAATTGTTAAAAGTTTACTATAATGTTAGCATTTGTTCTTAGTATGCTGATATTTTGTTTTTTGTTTTGTTTTGAGCCAGGGTCTTGCTGTGTAGTCCAGGCTGGCCACCAACACATAGTGATCTCCTTCCTCTGTACTAAATACTGGGATTACAGGCATGCACCACCACACCCAGCTCATTTGTTTGTTTGTTTGTTTTTGAGAGAGGGTCTCACTATTCCAGGCTGTCCTTGAATTCACTATATAGCTCAGTAATTCTGTCTTTGCCTACCAAATGCTGGGACCACACCCAGCCCATTACAGGATTTTTTAAAAATAGAAAATTTGAAGTGTGTTGTGATTGACTAGAAGAATTCAGTGTAACAAAATTACTATAATTTGCTATGTTTATAATTTGTCTAATTAAAACCACTTATCTGCAGGATACATTTCTCCCACTCCCAAGAAAAGGACAAAATATAACCTGGGCATAGTGGTGAATGCCTGTAATCCCAGAGGCCGAGGCAAGAGGATCATTGCAAGTTTGAGGCCAGCCTGAACTACATAGCAAGACCCTGTCTCAAAAAAGAACAAAATGCTCAAGAAAAATATCTTGTCTTGTCCTGTACATTTAACTGTCCCAGAGCCCTAGAAATGTCAGAACTGGAAGAAACTTTGGTACTCTAGTCCAGGCTTTTATTACAGCAACAGTCCCAAAAAGGAACAGTAATTTGCCTAAAGCCATCCACTGAAGTGTTTAGCCAAATCTAAACCATATCTCCTAACTCATTACCTTTTTCATTACCTAGAAGAAGATGTATGATTATGTAAAAATTTTGCAGCATTCACCACTGTATCAGTATTCCCTTTATTACAGAACTCAGTTGAACTTTTATTTTAAACAAAAGACATACATAAAAATAAAATAAATTTATAATCAAATTTAGGCAGAGGACACGTAGACTATTCCCAGAGCTTGCTTAAGTCCTGAGAGATGAGACTTTCTCTTGTGATATGGCATTTGTTTAGTACATGAATTTAGAAATACTGAGCGTGTCCATGTCTTAATCCATCTTTCTTAGCTAATGCTCACACAGTCCTCATGAGTTTTCAGTACACTCACTAATGAAAATATTTCTCATTTCTAAGTATCTACTTTACAGATTCAGTCTATTTGCCTGAGTTATCAGTGACAATGGTAACTGATTAGCTCAGCAGTATAGTGATTCAGCATAAACGTTATGCTAGCAGATCCCTAGTATGTATTTTGTTTTCTGTTTTAGTAGCATCCTGATGAGTGTTCCTGAATTAATATGGCCCCTGTACTGTCAAATGTATTCAGAAAGTCAGCCTATCAGTGATCATTTATGTAAGGGCTTTATAAAATATTTCTGAAATCTTTAAACACTAATTACTTACAAGGCCAATGGGAGGGAATCATAGTTAAAAGACAGAATGTTCTCTATGTTTCTTCTTACTACAGAGCACAAACTGTTGTAACAAGAAACAAGTACTTCGAGAAAATGATGCATAAATGTCATAGGTTTCCAAAATTTACACATCCATTTTATCTTAAAATGAATATGCTAGTAAATGCTTTGATGGATTGCCTTGTTACCCCTGTTCCATAAGATCACATGTTGAAAGATGTGAACAGGTTCACTATGCTGCATTATGCAGTGTGCGTTGGTTTTTTTTTGCAGTAATTTATTTTTTCTACTTCCAGACTTATAAAGTAGGCACAGCTTTGCTTACAATAAAGCTAATTTTAAGAGCACACAAAAGTTGAGCACAAACAGATTAAATCCAGCAATCCAGAGTAATGAAGGGTAAGAGAGACTGAATAACTGCCTGTGTCAGAAATAACTGACCGCCTAAGGTGACTACCTGGAGTCCTCACGCTGGAAAAGCAACAACTTCTTAGTGTACCAACTCACAGTGGAATTTCTAACTACCTTGTTCTCTATTAAGAACAATTTGTATAGTTAAGTGGTCTTTATAGACAATCTGCATCCATCTAAAACATATTCTATAATAGTGTAATTATAAGGCCACAATATTTCTTTTGGGCAAACCTCTTAATGTGATTTTAATATCAATGTTATTCATTCTTTGAAATGTTAAAAGTGTTTTGACTGAATTAAGGTTACATATTTTTAAATACTACATACATCATGACTAGTATATTAAAATTATATTATTTATATCTAATATCCAAAGAAAATTTACTACCAAATTCATACAGTAGATATTAGTCTGCCGTGCTTATTAATTGATCCCATAGGTATAATTATACATCAACATGACTTTAGTTTACTAATCAGAACACAGCATGTATAGAATAAACAAGTGGTGCAGCCACCCAAGGATCATGATAGCTCTTCATGTTAGCTGTCACAAGCTGAGATACCAATCCCCACCACGTGAAATAAATTGGATCCAATTCTTCATCAAAAAGTGCTGGTGGAGGTTGTCAGACACCTTCCAGTGTAGATCCCCAATCCAATGGCTGTTAATGAGACAGCAGCAGAGACAGAAGAAAAACCTTCAGAAATTCTGCTGAGAAAATGCCCCCTTTTCTTCATAACACTTGTGTTTCTCATGCTGAGAGTAGCTGTGCACTTTGGGTGTTTAAAGAGGAACTCCTGACATGATGGAAGGCTCCATGTGTAGCAGGTTACTAGTCTCAAAAATCTCAGTGATTTGGGGAACAATATGAAATAGCCAGGCCTGAAAGGTCAACTTAGAGTGGAGAATTCTGGATAAAAATACCTTAGAAGAAATTCAGTGAACTGGAGTAATATTCATGCTGTGCTCAAAGAGGATAATGAGGAACCAACCGTCTTCTGTGGTTTTAGGAGTCTTATGCCATTTTGATTGCATTTCCCTGAAAGTTTTGAATTAACTCAAAGAATGATCACCATTTGCGAGGAGGATTCTGCGGAGCACTGAGGAATAAAACACAGCACTATAGACAGAAAAAAGAAGCAAATCACTTGTGCAATAGCAACAGACCAGTAATACAAACAAGATGGAATTTTCTGATGTTGGAATATGAATAAGCACTTAGGATAGATTTCAGATTGTATTGTAAAATCTTTGGCAGAAAGCATGTAGAGGCATGGAGATACTAATGAGTAGAGATGAAACGGAATACAAAAACAAAAAAAAAAAGAGGAACTCCTTGGGTATATTTTCTGACTGACTTGACAATCCCATATCCAATCTGAGTTTTTCTTCAAGATGCTTTCAACTTCTTTCCTTTCTCTCAATATAATCTTCCTCAGACTGAGAGTTTTTTTCTCCAATGCTATGTGTATCTATTTCAGAAGCTCTATTAGTATCTTGTGTCTGTGAGCGAGGTGGGCTGTCACAGTGAGAACTCTTTGAGCTACTCTGTCCAGATTCATGCTGGGCATCTACCGATATTTTTTCCATGTCACCATTATAAATAGAAACTGAGACTGGAACACTGCTCCCATTCCCATTATTGCTGAAGTGCAATTCTGCCCAGGAGCCCTGCAGGTTCTCCTCCTGCAACCCGGGGACCCCACTCTGCGACATGACACCAAAGACTGCTCAACCATGGAGCTCCGCACCCAGCTGCAACAGCGCCTTAGCAGCAGTCGCACAAGAGCAGGTGCGCGACAGACCTGCAACTCCGCACTTTATACAGTGTGTTTTCATGGGGGAAGGCGTGGGTTTTAATGACGATATACTGCATGATTTTGAATCATGGGTCCACTCTGTACCAGCTTTGTCATCTTAGTCCAGTTACATCTTTGTAGTTAACTTTTCTCATCAATAAATGGGGGTGATAATTCTTCCTATGCCTTAGGGTTGTTGTGAGATCAAGTGAATTAACATATTTCTCATACCATGATCAGTGCATGGCAGTTAAGTACCGTGTAGGGGTCAGATAAACCATTGCTAGTGCTTAAAAGAGGGAGTTGAAACAAGTTGGCTTGAATTTTTCATCTGTAAAACAGCTCGAATTAGGTGTTATCTACAGTGTTCTTCAGGCTCCAGTTCCTTGTGCATTAAGATACTAGTACTCCTTGATGAAGACTTCTTCCTTTTTTGACACGCTACTTGTCTGTGCTACTTGATCTACAGCTAAGAAGTTAAGAGTAGGTTTTTGTAAAGGCCGGTGCCAGGTTCTTAAGTGACCTCTGAGGAACTAGCTCCATAAACCTGGGGCTCTTGCCCTGCTGCCTCTCTATTTTTGGTGTTGGGGATAAAACCCTCTCAAATGCTAAACACATGATGTACCACTGAGCTATATATCCCAGACCCTTCCTCCCTTTTTCCTGGTGTCTTACACCATTTTTAGGAGCTCATTTCTGAGGTTTGTCCCACTCCTGTGGCCTTCTGAGCAATATTCCACATTGTCTTCAGATGTTGACTCCCACAATGTATTAGCACTGCCCAGAAAGCAGATTTTGTTTCAAGTGAGCATTGCAAACTTTGCTTGGCATGCAAAATAAGCTCAGAATGCACAGACCACCCCACACACATACATACTAGGGATCGAACTCAGGACCTTGTGCTTGGGAGGCAGGTGCAGTGCCACTGAGCTAAACCTCCAGCCCTCATTTGCTCTTTCTAACAGGTATAGAGTATTACAACTTCTTGAAGAATTCTAATTTTTTTTTTTCCAAGACAGCCTCATCATGCAGTTCAGCCCTTGAATTTATGGGGATCCTCCTGCCTCAGCCTTTCAAGTGCTGGGATTACAGGCATTCACCACCACGTGTGGCTCTAATTTGTTTTGACCTACTGTTTAGAAAATGTATTTACTAATAATTAGAGGTCAGTTCTGGAGCAAACTTATTAGCAGCTGATTGAGAAAATGCTTATCTTGTTCTGTCCCCCACTCTCACCTCAAATGTTGCTTGGATCTGTAAACTACATTTTCAGATTTAATCAAACACAACATACATGTCCTAATAGAAACGGATTTTTGATCTTAATAAGTGTTTGAGAGCTGTATTTACTATTTATAATACCTTAGTGATACGTGTTTCTCTCTGTATTTGTGTCTGTACTGTATGTGGTTTTTTTTCACAGCTTGAGCTCAGTGACAATAGAATCTTTGGAGGTCTGGACATGTTAGCAGAAAAACTTCCAAATCTCACACATTTAAACTTAAGTGGAAATAAACTGAAAGATATCAGCACCTTGGAACCTTTGGTAAGTGACTGAGAATTTGGGAACTGGGAGGAGTTATTGGTCATTTTCATTTTCATATTTATAGTGGGAGAAATGATTGGGAATAAGTGAGAAAATGATGGCTTTTTGCTTTTTGTAGAAGTCCCAATTTTAAAAATCAGAGCCTAATTATATATATTCCTATGGCTTTGCTCCTCCTGCCTGATACTGTGGCTTCTTCCAAAGGGCAACTCTTTGGTGTTTTCTATCCTTGTTAAAATTCACATTTATAATATCCTTAAACATATCCGTTAATCACCGTGTCCCCACTGCCTGCTCAACTTGCCAGGCCAGCCAAGTTGTTATTCTGTGCTTTTATATTTATGGACTAAAGCTGTATAAATTGGGTGGCATTGATAGAACAATCAAGCACAGCTCCACTAAGTTGTAGCTCTTCTAATTCCTGATCTTCTGCTGTACCGATCACTGTTACCTAAAGTTTTATGCGGAAATCCTGAGACCTTTCTCAGTCTGATAGACTGGAATGAGTCTTGGAAAGCTTAGTTAACCGTCACCTGGGCTATAGACTTGCTGTGTGACCTTGGGCAAATTGCTTCTTCTCTCTGGGCCTCAGTTTCCTCATTCATGAAGTGGGGAGAACAGTAATGTTTGTCTTATTTAGGGACTCTCAGGATAAAGTTTGGTAATGCATTTCCTTCAAATTTAGGTTGGAAAGCTGTACTACTGAAAATTCAGTCTATGTGAAGTTGTAGTGGCGAAAAACAGCTTCCAGAGGGCAGGGGTGATGGAGCTGTGGGCAAGCCCCCAAGGCTGTGCTGGGTGCAGGGGTGGAGGTAAATGCAGAAGTAGAAACTGTCTTTCAGAATCTTAAAGAACAGAACCAAGAGAATAAGACATCTCCATTGTCTCTTACCTATTCTAAAACCACAATATATTAAAATATGTGAATTTCACACCATTTGTAAAGAATGCTGTCGATATTTCTGGGGAGAAGAGTAAAATTGTGGCTTTTAATGAGAGGAATTCCTGCCACAATTATAGGATCTTTTCCTTTACAATAATAATCAGCACTTCTCTGCAATACAGATTTAATTACCTTACATTGATTCCTTTTATTTTTACATTTCATTAAGAGCACTATGTTTAAGAGCTCATATTTCTCATAAATATTGGAAGCTTATTTCCCACCCTCATCCTACAAGTTTTGCTCTCCTGTTAAAGATAATGCCCAAATACTCTTACCCCCATTTTTCTTTGTTTTTTTTTTCCCCGAGAATCAAATTCCAGGCCTTGCACTTGCCAGGCAGGCACTGTGCCACTGAGCTACATCCCCAGCTCATTTCCCCACATTTTAATATTGTACTTTTATTCTCTTCTTCCAGACCAATCCCCAGTTCCTAAGGTAAATTAGACATTGAATTTTACTGTATCCAAGGACATGAACCTTTGTTCATTATGTCCTCAAATAATCCAGGAAGAGAGAATGACTTTTCTTGTTAGAGATCAGGAAACTAAATTTAGAGAGACTTCAAAAGAGTTTGGAGAGCTTAAGTAATTGGGATGAATAGCAGTTAGCATTCAAATCCAGGTTCACTGTATGTTCCACTGCCCTTGAGACCTATTCTTTCTTCCTATAAGTTTATTCCATACCCAAATCTGTTAAGTTGGGAATTCCAACATGAGCAGTAAAATTAAGGGCAGATGTTCCCTAGTATAGTGGGCTACACTAAGCTTTTGTTTATTGCTTAATGACAAGCCTCTTAATTCTGGGTCACTTGTGAGCATAGAAACAGCTCCCTTCACCACCTCTCCCTTTTAAACAGTGTACCCATACAATACTTTGCAATGCAAGATGACTATCCTGAGGCCTGTGATACAGAAGCCTGTAGCCATTTTCTAGCACACAGGCACAGCAGAAACATACTATGTGAGAATTGTTTACTTGAGCATTCCTGGTTTGGTCTGTAATATATGAGGGCCCAGTGAAAGTAGCTATGAAAGTCTTAGTCACCAAACCCAGTGAAGAATGAGAAATCATCTTTGTTGTATTTACTAATTTTGGAGGCTCCTCTGTGCCCATATCATACACTGTACTGGGTGCTTTATACTGTATGTGTTGTCTTATTTGTACTTACCAGAAAACATTTGTACAAAGTAGTTAGAAATAGCATGGCCCTTATTTTACATAGAGGAAGCTAAGGCTTGGATGAGGCTGAATCCCTTGTCCAGAGTCACACACTTTATGGCAGAGCCAGAGTGCTGCATACCAGGTGTATTTGGAAAAACCTGAGCTCCCACCATTATATTATACTTGTTGTTATCCCAATTCCTTGGGGTTACTAAGTTGGTGCCCTGATGTTCTCACTTGGAATAAAGGAAATCTGTAGGAAAATGTGAAGGGGGGAGATGTTGGGTCCATTTTGAGATCTGAAAGTATTCTTCAGTGGGGGAAAAACACCATCCTCATCTTCATTAACCACATACATTTTAAACACTACGTTGAGCCCAGTTCTTAACAGTCAATGCAATGATTGTGAATGCCTCTGCTTGCTACAGGGACATTAATCGAGAGACAAAGAAGGCATCAATTCAAACTTCCTTGGACACCTTTTTTAAGAGACCTGAGCCATCCAAATCATCCCCCAAAGCCCTTCTAAATTCTAAGAAGGCAAGCAAAATTATTGTTAATAAAATGTTTAATGTTTATTATGGCTAGCCTATTAGCTTAGGTCACATTTCTGATAAGGTAGAGTTGTTATTTTTTTTTTTTTGGCAGTGTTTACACATTACATTGGAATCCTAAGTAATCTGTGTGTTTTGTGCCTGTTAATCCTTAAAGCACAACTTTACTACTTTAATCAGTTCTAAAGTGCTACAGTCATTTGGGATTTGTTGCTATTGTTTTGATTTCATTTTCTAGCATACTATTTGGCATATCCAAATTATTTCACAGGTGCCTTGTCAGAAAATAGCCAAAAATCTCACACAGGAGAGCTTTGGTAGCCCTATATACTGAGTAACCAGAAAAGGGTCTTGGGTGTCATAAAGCATTAGATAAATATCCAAAGATGATTGCGTTTTTGTGCACTCACTTCTAGAAAATAATTTTGAGATGTAAATGGCTCATTCTTTTAAAGAGTTTTTAGACTAAATCTCTGAAAACACTGCAAACTTATTTATGATTGTGTCTTAACTGGTATGGAATCAGCCTTGGTGAAAAGAAAGGCAGTGTAATGTTCTGGTTATTTGCCTAGTGTGGTATTGCAGTATTATTTCCTTGTTGATCAAGAAGTGATACCTGGGCTTCTGTAGGGGAGACCTTGCCCACTAGGAAACCCAATCTGAAAGTTACTTAATACAAAAGCAGTTCTCTGTGGGACTAGCAGGACTGGGCTTTCTTAAGACATCAGGAACTGCCTTGTATAAGCACATTAATTGATTAACAAACTCTGAAATCGTTGTACATTGCTGTTTGAGGGGAGCAACATTGCCTTTTGTCACAATCCTGCTCAGAGTCCTCCTCCCTCACTCTTAGTTCTCAAAAACTTCATCTCAGGGAGATGAAGACCCTTCCAGTGCAGGGTCAGCAGCCCTTTCTCTGAAGGGCCAGGTAGCAGCTAACAGGAGGTGCTGACTAGCCATACAGCCTCTGCCACTGTAACACAAAAGGACCCCGCACATGAACAAACATGTTCAACTGTGTTCCAATAAAATTTTATTTTACAAAAACAGATGGTAAGCTAGAATTGGCCCGTGGATGTGGTCTGCCAACTCCTACTCTAGAACTCTCAAGATTTTCAAGTCACTTTCTGTCTCCCTAGAATTACATTAGTGCTGCCAGTTCTGAAAACAAAGTTTTGTTTTGTCTGAATTTCTTCCCAGGTCCTTGTGAATGTTATAATAGCTTTCCAAATAAAGAATCAACGTCCTTTAAGCATCTCTATGTATATTTTTTAGAGCTTAACTTCATACAGAGATCCTCTTACTAATATTTGTTTGGTGCATATGTGTGTGTATGTGTGTAATTTTCTTAGAAAATACCAAGCTTTTTCTCTTGATTCAGGGCCATTAAAAGTTACATTTATGAAACTTTTAATCATATGCACTCCAGGGTTGTTGTCCTATCCTGGAAGGCACCAGGCTGTACACTGCTGCACATTTTGTGTTTGATTTTTTTTTTTGGTAGCAGGGATCGAACTCGGGTCCTTGTGCTTGCACAGCAGGCGGCAAAATCACTGAGCTAAATCCCCGGCCCCCTTGTGTTTGCTTTTTATCAGCTGCTTCCTCTTCTGCTTACAAGGATCTGCTGCCATTTCCTGTCACTGTCTTCTGACTTGCCTGTAATATTTCTCCCTCAGTCTCTTAATGTACCCTGATTGAAACTTAACATACCCAAGATTGGAATACTTGCATAGTGATGCAGTATAACACATGAAGCTGGGTGTGTGGCACTCACCTGTAATCGGCAGGAAGATCACAAGTTACAGCCCAGTCTGGGCAACTTAGCTAAGTCTTAAATTTTAAAAATGGGACTGATGATACAGCTCAGTGCAAAGCCTCTTAGTTCAATCCCCAGTACTATCAAAAAACAAATAAATGGAGATAAGTAAAACAAATAGACATTTTTTCTATCCTCTTTAGCCACTCAAAAAACTTCTTGGGCCAAGTTTTTACATTAGGTGATACTGATGGTTCCAAACTAATATGGTATTACAGCAGAACTTCAAGGTATGGCAGAATCAGAAACAATTTACATCTGAAAAATCTTGTAATAGTATCAGGCTTTACCAGAACATAGAAGAAAAGAGTGTAATTTTTCTCTGTATTTCTGAAATTTCAACTCTTGAGTCATGTCTTCCCCTTTCCCATATTGACTTCTGTCTTCCCTGAAAATACATCTGCATTGACACACCGGGTATTTTGTTATAGTGCATCTTCTATAGTGCTTCATATCTGTGTCCTCAAATAGTATTGTAAGTGCCTTGAGATTCAAGACTGTTACAAATCTCTTTCCCTATACTAAGGTTTGAACTAAATTTTTAAACTGTGTCTCATGCTTGAAAAGATCTGGTTTAAGTAAAAATTATTTCACACTTACATTTCTTTAGACTACTAATACTGCCAGAAAAAGACATAGTTCTTAGGAGAGTAGGTGTAGGAAGGGAGGAACTAAGGTCTAGATCAAAGGTGGTACAGGACTAGTGTTTTCCTATGTATAAGTTTTAAGTGGGTAGCACCTAACCAAATGCAGAGAATAGAATTTAACCTCTTCAGATGGTGTGTGTTGCTTGTGTTTCTTTGGTTTAGGAGTTATGTCTTTTACTCTTTCCTTCAGAAAAAATTGGATTGTCTAAAAAGCCTGGATCTGTTTAATTGTGAGGTCACCAACCTAAATGACTACCGAGAGAGTGTCTTCAAGCTCTTGCCCCAACTAAGCTACCTGGACGGCTATGACAGAGAGGACCGGGAAGCCCCAGACTCAGATGCAGAGGTGGATGGTGTAGATGAAGAGGAGGAGGATGAAGGTGAGTGGACTTGGCCTAGTGATCAGACTTCTGTGTTTGAAAGTTGCTGAGAAAAGCTACTGAATGTTCTTGTGGTTGAGGGAAAAAAATTCATATCTGTGAATGTAGGCACTCTATGAGATTTGGTCCTCTGTTGAATTTGACATTGAAGCCTTAAAATGATTTAAAATAAAAATGATTTGTTAACAAATAGTCCTTTAAATTTGGAGCCTAGTGATTGGCTGCTCCACATACCCATCAAAGTGCTCGAGGTACTTGTGTCTCTGTGCCTTGCTCCCAGCTAGCCCCTTGTTACTGCCTGCTCATCCTCCCCAGCTCACCTGTTTCAGCACCTGCTGGAAGTATTCCCACACCTCCAGACCGCTGAGGTTCTTGTGTGTGCTAGGCTACCCCATGCAGACTCATAGGCCTGTCCAGAGGTATTCTTATCTCTCCCTACTATGTGACAATTTCTTCCAGACAGACTCTTTTCTCCTGACCCACAGGGCCTGGCACTTGGTAAGTATAGTACTTAATACATACTTGTTATAATCAAATAAGAATGAAATAACTTTCCTGCTTTTGATAACATGACTAGAGTTTAAGAAGGTAATGATTTTAAAGTACTCCTTGTAAGATTCCATGTTTCATTAATAAGAAAAGTAATACTTAGTTATAAATGACACTTTTTTCTTTTTTGTACCGGGAATGGTTATAAAGTGAAATTAAAACATACTTTTCAGGGCCAGGGATTTAGCTGAGTGGTTCCGCCGCCTGGTTCGCAAGCGCAAGATCCCAAGTTCGATCCCCAGTACCAAAAAACAAACATACTTTTCAATAATTTGGCTATGAACAAAGTTTTTTATAGATGAAATATTTTCTACCTAAAATACTCCTCCTGATTAGCTTCTGTTCTTTGTACACCAACTCGTTTATTCTGGAGCACTCTTCTCAGGAATAAAAGATTTCTCACCTTCAAGTGGTTAGAACAGTGGTCCCCAATTGAAGGTAACACTCCCTAGCTGTTAGGAACCAGGCCACATAGCAGGAGATAAATTGCAGGAAAAGATTCATTTGTATTTATAGCCACTCCTACCACCTGAGTTCCATCTCCTGTCAGATCATTAGCATTAGATTCTCACAGGTGAGTGAACCCTGCTGTGAACTGCTCCTACAGGGGCTTCCTGTGAGAATCTATTGGCGATCTGCAGTGGAGCTGAGGATTGATTGCAAATGCAGATTAGCATTAGCAGAGGGGTTTAACTGCACAGAGACCATAATAAATCAGTTGCTTGCAGACTCTTACCAAAACCCAATCAGTGAGAGGCAAGTGACAATTAAACTATACGTGGTGGCAGGTTTTAAGTCAGAATCCAACACTTGTTTTCATCTGCATAAGGTCCTCCCATTAATTATTTACCATTCCCATCTGTCCCTCTTTCCCACACTGCGTATTTGTCTCAGTCATAGTTTTGTTAAGCTCACAAGCCAACCCTGGCCAAGATGAGTGAAAAGTAAATATCACTGGAGAGCTTCTTTGAAAGGGGGGAAAGACCCAATGATGAGAAAGCAGAAGACTCCAAGACTGCCAACAAAAAAAAGCTGCATTTAAAAGGAAAATACCAAGAGTCCTACTTAAATAACAGGTTAATTATAGTAGGTGATTCACATTCTTCAAGCCTACTTTGTATAATATGTGGTGACTGACTTCCAATAAAGCTATGAAACCTTCAAAACTGCTTCACTGCATGGAGACCAACCATCTTACATTAGAAGAGAAGGGTTTGGGGTTTTTCCAAAGAAAAAATATGTGAACACAAAAAGAACAAAAAAGGCCACCACTTCTTGAAATGTGTCTGTACTAAGTGCCCATTCTTAGTGGCTAACTGCATTGCTGAAGCTAAGAAGCCCATCACTGTTGGTGAAGAAATGGTCCTGCTTGCTGATGAGAACAGTTGGTAGTGAGCTTTTAGGAAAGACTGCAGCTCAAAAAGTGGCATGTAGGGTCAGGGATTTAGCTCAGTGGTTTCGCCACCTGCTGTGCAAGTGCAAGGACCTGAGTTCGATCCCTGGTACCAAAAAAAGAAAAAGTGGCATGTATTCTTCTCTCAGCTAGTACCATAATTAGGCAATTGATGAAATGGCCCAGGATATTGAGGCATGATTGTTAGGATTAGTCATTGTGATACACAATCCAGGTTGAGAAATCTGATGTTGACAAGGCAACAATTCTTGTTTCTGTGCAATATATTTTTCAGGAGGATGTGCATTGAGGATATGTTATATGCACTTTTGTTGCCAATGAGTATCACAGCTGCAGAACTATTCAAGTCTTTGAATGATTACATATTAGAAAAACTTGAGTTGGTTGTTTTGTGTCAGTAATTATGCATGGACAGAGCAGCTGCCATGACTGAACATCTTTCTGGTTTCACTACTTGGGTCAAAGAGATTGCTTTTGAATGTCAGTCACTGTGCCATCCATAGAGAAATGCTGGCTAGCCAGCAATGTCTCTTGAACTTAACTTTTTGCAGGATGTGATTAAAATTACCAACCATATTAAAGTATATGCCCTTAACTCAATTCTGTTCGCACAGCTCTGTGAAGAAATAGATGCAGAGCACTGTCTGTCTTTTTTTTTTTTTTTTGGAGATAGAGTCTCGCTATGCAGACAGGCTGACCTTGAACTCCTGGCAGTCCTCTTGCTTCAGCCCCCTAAGTGCTGGGACTACAGGCTTGCACCAGCACACCCAGCCTCAGTCGTCTTCTCTTTTACACAGAAGCTAGGGCATGATCACCTTTTTTAGCTTTCAAAAGAGTTAGAGCACTGCTTCCCAATCCCAAAGACCCTCAAACTGAAAAGGAATGGATCTGCAACCCACTTGTGAATAAAGCAGGTGATCAGCTTTGTCTGTGTTTGGAGAGGATCAACTACATGAAATTGCAAATGATGGTGGCCTTAAAAGTGTACTTGAGAGAACCTGAGGTCTCCATCATATGTTCAAGATTAAAGTCAGGTGGAATATTCTGAGATTGCCACAGAAGCACCAAAAAGCCTTCTATTTCTGGCTTCCTGTTTTTGTGAAAAGCAGGGTTTTCTGCAATGACAGCAACCAAAATGAGATTAGACAGTAGACTAGACATATGCAGCACACTCTGGGTATCATTGTCTTCTCTCGTTACCCCTAGATAGGACCATCCAGTTGCAGGAAAACAAGTTTATGGTGACTTATGTAATTATATCCTAATATACTACAATGTAGTAATAATAGAAATAAAGAGTATAATAAATGTAATGGGCTTGAATCGTGCTGAAACTGTATATCCTCCCATCCCCATGAGTCCATGGGAAAAGTGTCTTCCACAAAACCAGTTGCAGGTGCCAAAAAGGTTGGCATAGTTGAAGCAGTGAGATTGTTTTTGGATCAGTCAGCCTGAAGAAACTTGTTCTCATGATTCCTAATGCTACTGGGCATGGTAGAACATGCCTATAATCCTGGCACTTGGGGGGCTGAGGCAGGAGAATCACATGTTCAAACGATTCAAAATGGTTTCTTAGTAAATGGTCCTCAAATTGGGAATCTAGAGAGCATAGACTGCTCCACCCGACCCGTAAAACTACTTGAAATTCTTATGGAACCATGGACTCGTGTGTCTTTGCCAGCTTGAGCTACATAGAGGGGGAAAAAAAAAAGAAACAATTTCCGATACTGTTGGGACTGCATCATTGTTATATTTGAAGCACTATTTTCTCTCTCTCCGTCTCCCCTCCTTCCCCACTCTTATTTTGTTTTTGTTTTTTGAGACAGGGTCTTACTATGTAGTTCAAGCTGGGCTTGAACTCACTGTATTGTAAAATCCAAGCTGGCCTTAATCTTACAGTGATCCTCTTGCTTCAGCCTCCTCAGCGTTGGGATTACAGACATGAGCTGAACATCTCTTTAAAAATATGTGTGTGTGTGTGTGTGTGTGTATTATATATTAACTTCAAAGGTAGAAATGGCCAAGAAAAAGGAAGAGGAAACACATCAGGCTGTTTTGATGCAATTAATGTTACAGGATCTGGAAACGTTTTTATAGTTTTTTGTTTTGCAGCAGACTGAGACAGGCAAAAATTTATTTATTTATTTTTGGTTGAGACAGGCAAAAATTAATGAGCTACATGGTGGTAAGTGGACAAAGTAGGACATCTAACCTCGTTCCAAATGTTTATGGCCCTTGTTCCCTTCACTGTAGGTTTCCAGTTATTCCTGAAATCTGCTTATTACCTAAGTTTGCCTCAACCTGGTGGAAACTCCTTGGAGAGAGGGGCCAGTTCCTAAGCACAAATATCAGTCAGGCAACAAATATTGGAGGGTTTCCTGTGTGCTAGGCATTGTGGTAAACATTCAGAAAAAAAAGACATGGGCCCTGTCCACTTCTAGTGTACCATCTACAAAGGAGAATTTTTTCCTTTCATTAGTCAATAAAAGTTACAAACAGGCAAAGTATGCAATAATGGAGAAGCCTCAGGTGCCTATGTAAGAGCCCCTAGCTTGGAATAAAGAGATCTGGTGAGCCTGCCTGAGAAGTCCTGGGACCATGGTCAGAGCTGGGCAAGCAGAGAAGAAAGGGCAGAGTGTGCAGGAGGCAAGAGAGAGCACAGTGAGTCCTGAGACCAGTGGAGAGAGCTGCTGTCTCACCAGAGGGCCACAGGAGTAGGATAGAGACAGGCCCAAACTGCACTGTGATCAGGACACAGCAGGTGCTAGGGGTGTTTTCTAGGTCTATGATCAGAGAAGCTGGCTCTGACCATTACTCAGAGGGAGGGAGCTTGCTTTGTTTTTTAACTTTTTGTGGTGAAAAGCTTCAGAGGTTGACAAAGGTAGAAATAATGGAACAAACCTGTGTTCTCATCACTCATAGCTGATCTTGTTATATATGTATGCATTCTTCTGTTCATGTCCCCCTGCTGTATTATTTTGAAATAAATCTTAGGTTGAAGTGGTACTGTACATCTAGTCTGCCAGACTTCACGCCTCCTGATTTTGTGTTGCACTTGGATGAAGGGGCTGAGCTATTGACCTGTAGAAAAAGGGTGGCTGTGAGTCTACTCTAGTGTCGGTGAGGGCCAGCCCATGGCTCCCATATACCTTTACAGGTGCACTCCACAGGGTATCTAAGGTGTTTAATGAATTCCATTTTGGACTATTTTCAGAAGGAGAAGATGAGGAGGACGAGGAAGATGAGGATGTTGAGGAAGAAGAGTTTGATGAAGAAGAGGATGAAGATGAAGATGAAGACGTAGAAGAAGATGAAGATGAAGTCAGTGAGGTCAGTGCACCGGTTTGGTTATTTTTGTAGTGCTGGTAATGGAACCTAGGGCCTCACACATGTTAGACAAGTGCTTTAGCACTGAGCTACATCCCCAGTACGATGCATCTGCTCCTTTTTTGTAGTAAAGGCAAAAATGTCTTAAGAAAGACAAGGAAAAGGCTTACTGAATAAAAATGTGAGTTTTGATTAATTCAGTCTTTGTCCTTATTTATTTTGTAGCACAAAAGATTGAACCCAGGGCCTCAACACATGCTAAGCAAGTGTTCTACCACTGAGCTAAGCTACATCTCTAACCCTTGTAGCCCTTCAAATATCAAATGATATGCTTACTGAATCCTAACTGGACACAGTGCTCAATTCTGCAAGTTAAGTTTTGGCCCTTCAACTTTGACAGAAAGGAACGAGTTGGGTATTCAGTAGGATGGAAAAACTGGAAATGCTGAGAACTGATAATATGTCCTTTGTTGTATCAAAAAGAGTTGTGTGTTTACCAAGTCTGAAGTTCTTCATGTATATTTAGTTTGGTTCAGTAAATATATGCTTGCTATATTGGAAGAAAAGTTGAGTGAGAATGTGATCCTGTCCTAAAAGAGCAGGTAGTCTGGTTTTTGGAGCACCAAATAATACAATAACCATGAGGATCCTAGGAGGATAGGGGAAAGGAGTAACTGTACCTTAACTGAAGGAGGCTTGGAAAATAGGCCGAGAATGTTTTCACTAAGAAGCATGTTCTTGTATAAAAGTAAAGCATCATATGATCTCATAGGTGTTTGATGACTTACAATCCTAGGGGAGTTTTGTGTAAGATTGGATGTGAGGGATTGGAGATATGTAGCTCATTGTTAGGGCTAATTTTCATGAAGCCCTAGGTTCAATCCCCAAAGTCCCCCCATAAAAATATAGAAAAAAATCATTGTCCAAATCTGCTTTGAAATTCAAGATTTTTAAATCATTTCTTAAATTTATCATTTTAAGTTGTATACTAATTAAACATATCTGACAAACTGCTTGCTTCTGAGTAAAAACTAACATTACTCTTCTTGATTTATTGTTAGATTTATTTGCAGCTGGGGATGTACCTCAGTGGCATAGTATTTTCCTAGACCGTATGAGGCCCTTGGGTCAATCCTTAGTACTGCCCCCCAAAAAGTGATTTTATTTACAAAGTGTATTTCTTTTTGTATTCCACGATTTGGCAGGATTAATTTTATAATGTTATGCTGTTTACCATTCTTTAGGAAGAAGAATTTGGACATGATGGAGAAATTGATGAAGATGAGGAGGATGAGGATGAAGATGAGGATGAAGGTGGGTCTAATGCATGCATTTTAGATCTCCTCAGTTTAAAGTTAGATGAAAGCCAGCATGATAGCACATGCCTGTATTCCCACCAGTGAAGCTAAGGCAGGAAGATTATGCTTGAGGTCAACCTGGGCTACATAGTTCAAGGGCAGTCTGAACTACAGACATAACAAGACCCTGTCTCAAAACAGATATAGAGGTCCGTTATTTAGGATGTCATACCACTGAGAAGATGATAAAATGCTCTTGGCCTCATTCCTTGTGGTCTTGTTAGTGCATCTGAGCTGGTGCAGCTTTCCCAGGAGTGCTACAGGACCTTCTGGTGCTTGAGGCCCTGGAGTCTGGCTAGTTCTTGATCTCCACATTTCAAGTGCTTTTAGATCTCCTCTCTTAGACTGGCAAGTATGAGATTTCTGTGTTGAATTTCTTTCATTAAAAAGGCTCACTAATTGGGTCATAATTTACTAGGATGTATAAATAGTACCTTTCCAGTTTTATCGCTATTACTTCTTTTCCTACCACAACCAAGAATAGTTAAATGGCTGTTATTTATTTATTTATTATGCATTGAGATTCTCCAGGTTGTTTAAGTTTTCAGAGAACCAGGTTGTTGCTGTGCTTTGCATTGGCACATACTTATTCAGCGTCTACTCTATGCCAAGCAATACCTGGTCACTGGTTTCAAGAGATTTTGAAATGTGATTTAATATAGATTTAATTAATTTCATTAAAATAGCCATGAGTTTTTACTAGTTGATAAAAGAGATTTCTGTCTCCATCTCAAATACTCTAAGAACATAAAAATCCTAAGAGGAACAGGGATGTGGCTCAGTGGTACTGTGCCTACCTGGAAAACACAAGGTCCTGAGTTCAATTCCCAGTACCGCAAAAATAAATTTAAAAAATTAAAATCCTAAGAAATCCTATTTTTAATTTGTCTTGTATCTCCTAAGCAAAGTAATGTTATGTCCATTAACACTGTCTTAGACAACATGCCTTTAGTCTCAAAGTCAATTTTTATTATTTGTACAGAGGAGGAAGAAAGTGGAAAAGGTGAAAAGAGGAAGAGAGAAACAGATGATGAAGGAGAAGATGATTAAGACCCCAAATAACCTGCAAAAACAGAACTGTTCAGTATTGGTTGGACTGCTCATGGATTTGGTAGCTGTTTAAAAAAAAAAAAAAAAAAGGTAGCTGTGATACCCCAGGACACCCACCTACCCAAAGAGCCAAAGAATAGTTCCTGTGACATTCCACCTTCCTCCATTTAGTCCCTCTTGGTAATCACACCAAGCCTGGGTACTTTGCCCCAACAAAATTGTAAGCGTTGTTAGGTTTTTGTGTAAGACTCTTGCTGTAGCGTGGATAGCTGTGATTGGTGAGTCAACCATCTGTGGCTACCAGTTACACTGAGATTGTAACAGCATTTTTACTTTCTGTACAACAAAAAAGCTTTGTAAATAAAATCTTAACATTTTGGGTCTGTTTTTTCATGCTTTTTTTTTTTAATGAAGTTTTTCTTAACAATAGGACATTATATGTGACAACTGCCAAAAAGTATTTTTAAGACTAAGTGAAATAAACATGTTACTCTTTGGTAAATCGTAGTTGTATGCTTACATTTTTAAATTCACCTGTAATTGTAAAGTAAGCTTATGTTAAAATTCTAAAGAACAGGGGTGGGTTTTTGTTTTTGTTTTTGGTGTTATATCAGTGGTTGTTAATGGAAAAATGAATGCACAAATGTATGGGGTCTTTGAGTATCTAATCCTCATTTTTGATGACTACAGGAGAAATTCAGGCTTTTAAAAAGTGTTCAGGGCCTGGGAATAGAGTTCTGGCAGAGCACTTGTCTAGCTAGCAAGCATGAGGACTTGGATTCAATCCCTAGCACCTTTTAATTTTTAGAATTCCATCCTCTGAGATCAGTGAAACCCAATATGTTAAATTTGAGTAATACGTTAATTAAGAAAAAGAGGATATAATATAAAAAAACGCCTTAACCAAGCTAGACATGATGACACGTGCCAGTAATCCCAGCACTTGGTAGGCTGAGGCAGTAGGATCATGAGTTCAAGTCCAGCTTGGGCTACATAGCAAGATCAAGGCTGCCCTGAACTACATAGTGAGACCCTGTCTGAAACACACAAAGTCCTTAACTAGAGTCCCAAAAGAGATCTGAATTCTAATTCTGGCTCTACTACTTTTTCTATATAACCTTGTGTTGACCTCTGGGTCCCTTCCCAGTCTAAAATTGAAGGGGTGTAACCAAATGGCTTCTGAAGTCTTGCAACATTGATGATCTCTAACCCCCATTGACACAGAGGTCTGGAGGAAAAAAATGAGTTTCACACCAAAACTGAATATGCATGGTTGACTGACAGGAAAGCAGAATGGCTTGTTAGCAATATAGGTGTGCTAAGGAGGCAGCAGTGTGTGAAAAGCCTCACCCACAGGCACTGCCCAAGACCAGCCCCACCTTAACAGAAGTGGAAATTTTCTCTATTCTTAGTCATCTTAAGGGGTTTGAGGGAGGGGAAGTTATTCCCTGTGTGTATTCAGTGACTTGGCTGTTTAGTGAAAATAGATATATGACAGTGTTGTCCATAATAGTTTTTTTTCTTTTTGTAGTGGAAGATTTGAGGATTATTTTACTATAATGTAGCTGTAGCTGTGGAATGCTTGTGAAAGCAATATGAAAGATTGGAATCTAACTTTATACAGGAAGACTTAGTCTGATTTGAGCCCCTAACTTACTTTAAAATCAAGTTGCCCATATGCTTTTTTAGTATTCATTTTTTGCAAAGAAAGTTAAAAGTGAATTTGAGCCGGGCATGGTGGTGCACACCTGTAATCCCAGCACTTGGGAGGTTGAGGCAGGAGGATCACCTTGAGTTCAAGGCCAGCCTGAGCTACATAGCAAGACCCTATGTCAAAAAGAGAAAGAATTTCTGGTTTAACTCTGACTTCCAAAACCACAAGGCCTTCTCTGCCACTTAGGAAATATTTATTTAATGCATTGTAAAAATGGTTTCTTCTGTCAGTGTTTTTATATATTAAATACCAAACATGGTAACTGAATAATTCTTCTTCCTGCAGCTATAAGTTTATGGAACCTTGTAGTATCTCCCAAACAGATAGCCCAGGCTTATTGGCTGGGTGAGAGGGAGCCCAATTGGGTTAGAGACAAGCCACCCCTTGGTGCTCACAGTATCTAGGAAGGAAGATGACAGCACAGGAGTGATCCTTACTAGGACTGAGGTCTGCATGAGTTAGTGTAGTGTAGAGGCTGGAGAGGTCGTGTCCTTTCTAGGGAAATTTTCCTAGAGAGAAAGATATTCAAGCTGTGTGGGTAAGTAAGGTTCAGAAATAGAAATGGAGAAAAGAGACACCAAATGAGTCAAAGGTGGGAATTTGATGGGAACATTTAGATAGAAATAGGGAGATTTAGTGGCACACGCCTGTAATCCCAGCACTGAGAAGGCTGAGGTGGTAGGATCACCGTAAGTGTAAGGCCAGCCTGAACTACGTAGTAAGACCCTGTCTCAAAAAAAAAGTAGCTGTAACTAGTGAAGGAAATACAATAGAGAAATAGATACTGAAGAAATTTGGAACTTTGGCATAGAGCAGTGGTAGTAACCCTTTAAAAGACCGTGCCAAACTCAAAAAGCACCAATTAAACGTGAATAGTAAGCCAGGGATTTAGCTCCGTGGTTCCGGCGCCTGCCTCGGTGCCTGCCTTGTAAGCGCAAGGTCCCGAGTTTGGTCCCCGGTACAAAAAAAAGAAAAAAAACCTGAATAGTGAGGTTTTAGTTCATCTTTTATCTTAAAAACACACGCATGCCATAGGTTCACTCCACTGTCACAGAGCCTTGTTGGCCAAACCCTTGTGCATTCCATATGTAGCCAGTGAGATGCTTAAACATCCTTAAGCCAGGATTTTATTTGTCTTTTTTCTTTTAAAATCATTTTAAAGGGGCCGGGGATTTAGCTCAGTGGTACCGCACCTGCCTTGCAAGTGCAAGTTCCTAAGTTCGATCCCAGGTACCAAAACAAATTATTTTCCCAGGAGCTTTTGACATGATTCTGCCCTCTGGGAGAGGCATGAGGCTCAATGGTGAAAGAACCTTGTTATAAAATCCTGAGAATCAGGGCTGGGGCTGTAGCTCAGTGGTAGCATGTGTGAGGCCCTAGGTCCTGTCCTTAGGACTAATAATAAAGATCTTTTTGGTGATGTCACAGCAGTCTGTATTTCTGGCGTTCTCTCCTATGTGAAAAAGAACTGCATGTAGTGGATTTGTAACAAATATTTGAGTACAAAATGACCAACTGAATGGGACTTTATTTATTTTTAACTGCAAGCCTGGATGACCAGTTCTAACTTGCAGGGCCAGTGGAGGTGTGTTCCACAAACACCTACCTGTGAAATGTCAGCATGCCATTTTATTTGAAGCCACAGTTCTGTGCTCTTAACTATTGCTTAATGTGAAAGGGGGGGGGGAGCATGGGGCAGGGCCAAAGACACCCACAGTGTCCTGGTGAAGTATTAGAAGAACCTAGCCTAGGGGGTCTAGGATGTAGTACAGTGGCAGAGTGCTTGCCTAGCATGCACAAAACCCTGCATTCAAGCCCCAGCATTGCTATTTTTTTTTTAAATAAACCTACAGAGAACCTAGCCTAGAAACCACGAGGCTTGCTCTTCCCTGGAGTTCACAGAACTCGGGTCCTGGAAAGGGATGGCACTTGCCATCTTGTGGGAGATGCTTGTGCCCTGCCCTTCACCCATCTCCATAAGTGATGCACAGACTGGTTAGATACAGGAGAGTGCAGCCCTTTCCTGGCCTAGCATTCCCATTTAGCTCATACTACCTTGCCACCAGGGAAGGGTGATGAAGCAGAACCATGAAGGGGTTTTTTTGCCCTTTTCTGTGACCTGCTTTCTCACATTGTGCTGACATCAATTTTAATAAGGCTATGATACCGCTGTGTTGACAGTTTGAAAAGGGAGTCAAGTTACTGGCAGACTTCAACCAGCCAAACAGTTGCTCCTTGGGAGAGCCACCAAGATTGTGGTGAGTGTGGAAGTTATTCTCAGAGCTGATTAGGCCAGCTGGAACTTCTCTGATGGAGTGGGTATTTTATAACTCCCCAGAGGTGTTGGAAGGGCATGCAGGAGAAAATTAGCCTTAGAGTTGCTCTATCTGATTAAGGAGCTTGCCCCTGGCCAAGAGGAGCAGAGGTCTGTGTTCATGTGGCAGGCGGGGAGGAGTAGAGCTGTGAGGGAGGCCTTAATCCAGAACCGGACGCTCTGTTAGCTGGCTGGTATTAGAGCTGCCTGAGCCACTTCCTTCCCTGAGCCTCCAGATTTTACTGAAAACCTGGGGCCCAAGCTAAGTGAGCTTGCATGTCATTCCAGCTGTCCAAGTCCCAGTATGGTATGCAGTGAATTTTAGCCAGCAGCAGGGATGCTAGCCATTGAGTCTCATGTTATTCCTCCTGGTCACCAGAGGAGCCAGGAAGAGTTGGGGCTAGTCATGATAGCAGCTGTGCTTTAGACTGATGGAGGAGAAAAGGAGAGACCAGTACGAGCCCAGTGAGCAGGTAATTAGTTATCCAGATAAAGCCAAGTGAGGGCTGTGCCCCCAGTTCTGACCCTAGATGAGCAAGATGTCTTCCAGAAGGTACAGTAGGAATGCACTACTAGTGGGACAGTTGGGCTAGTCACTCCTGTACTAGCAATTTATTTATTTTTAAATGTGTCCATCAATTTATTTTCTTTCTTTTTTTTTTTTTGGTACCAGGGATCGAACCTAGGACCTTAATGCTTGCGAGGCAGGTGGCGGCAACACTAGCTAAATCCCCAGCCAGCAATTTATTTTTTAAATTTCAAATAAAACAGCTTCATTAAACTAAAAATTTGTATACCACACAATTTATAAGCTTAAAATGTAAGAATCAGTATATTTTAACGCATTCACAGAATGGTACAACTATAACCACATTCACACTTAGGTCATTCTTATTAACCCAAATCAAAACACTGTACTAGCTGTCATCTACCCATCCCTCATGCTAAGTCTAGGACCACTGAGCTACTCTATCTTCATAGAGTTTCCTGTTATTTTTTGAGACAGTCTCAAAAAGGCTAACCTGAACTTTTGTGATCCTCCTGCCTCAACCTCCCAAAATGCTGAGATTACAGCTCCCACTATATCTGGTTTACAATGTCCTTTTTTTTTTCTAAATTTATTTTGAGATGGGGTCTTCCTATGTTGCCAAGACTGACCTTGAATTCCTTGCCTCAAGCAATCCTGCATCAGCCTTCTGAGTAGCTGGAATTACAGGTGTACACCACCACACCTGGCTTGAGTCCTGCTTTATTTGTTTGTTTTGAGACCAGATCTCACTATGTATTCCAGGCTGGCCTTGAACTCATAGTGATCCTCCTGCCTTAGCTTCCCAAGTGCTGGGATTACAGGC